TATAATGCAGCTGAGATTATGAACCTGGGAGACTGGAAAGATGATGGTGCCTTCAACAAAAATAGTAAAGTTTGGAAGAGAAGAGAATTTTTGGGAAAAGATAATGAGTTAAGTTTTGGGCATGTTGCATTTGAGATGTCTCTGAGCTATCAGATCAGAAATGTTTATTAGGCAATTGGTGATGAAAGTCTAAAACTCAGGGGAGAGTCTAGGGATGGAAATATGTCTGGGAGTCCTAGTTAAACCCATGGGAACTTATGAGGTGGCCACAAAAATGAATATAGAGGTAGAAGAAAAGAGAGTCTAGGACAGAACTTTAGGGGCGCCCACAGTTAGGAGGAGTGATATGAATGATAAGCCAGCAAAGGAGACTGAGAAGTAATGATGATACGGGTAGAAAGAGAACCAGCAGAAAAGTATCACAAAAACCCAGAGGAGAGAGTATCCAGGAGGAGAGTGTAGTCAGTAATGTGTAGTGTAGCTGATAGTTCAAAAAGAATGAGGACTGAGAAAAGACCAGCAGATTTGGCAATTAAGAGATTGTTGTAACTTTGGAAATAGCAGTTTCAATTGAGTGAGAAAGGCATAAGGCAGATTGCAAAAGGTTGATAAGTAAAGGAGAAGAGAATTAGTGGAGACAGTGAGTTTAGATTCCCCGCCCCGCCCCCCACCAAGGAATTTCACTGAGAAAAGTAGGAAAGATATAGGATAATAGCCTGAGGGCATGGTAGGGTCTAAGTAAAGACTTTTTCAAGATGGAAAGACTTAAGTATATATGAAGGCAGTTGGCAAAGGATCATTAGATTGGGAGAGATGAAGATATGAAAAGAGGTGGGGAATGATTGAGAAAATATTCTACTAGACAATATGCTAGGGAACTGGATCAAGTCCATAAGTGGAGAAGTTGACCTTGGTGAGGAAGGCCATTTTTTTCCATCACAGACTGGGGAAAATGAGGTGAGAAAGGGGAGAATTTCAGAGAGTCTTGAGGTAAAAAGAATTTGAGAAGACAATGCTCGCATCAAATAACCTTACTTTTCTCAGCAAAGAGACAAGGTGGTCAACTGGAAAGGTATTGAATTGGGTTGATATAGGAGACTTCAGAGGTTTGGAATAGCCTCTGTGGGGAGGGAGATAGGGAATCAGTTGAAATAAAAATACTGAAATAAAGTGACTGCCTTGCTATAGGGAGGGACCAGTTGAAGTTGGATAGCTTGAATTTATAATCTATCCAGTGAGCACAACTGAGGCTTCCTTCAGCAATATTCATAGACTGGTGAGTAGTAGAAGAGAAATCAGGTGGTGAGAATAGTCCAAGACTGAAATTTGGCAACAGATGAATGGACTAGGATAGAACAAAGGGGCAAGAGATTCAGGAGCAAGGGACAGTATAGAGTTGAAATGAAATGATTAGGTTGAGATTGGAGAGAGAGGAGAGTGAAGTCAATGCAGGGGTAAGCACTTAGGGGCTGGAGAGATTGAAGATCTCTGATGGTAAAGAAAAGGTTTAGGAGTGTGCATTTTCACACGCATTATGTTTAGCTGTGCCTCCCCCATCCTTTTCACTGTGACATCAATTATTTGAACTTTACATTGATTGCTATTGAATTTAATCTTAAGAGATTTGCTTCATTGCTCTAGGCTGATGGGATTTGGGAGGATCCTAACTCTATCATCTGTTATATTAGCTATATTTCTCCTCTCAAATTCATGTCACTTCCAAATCTGATAGGCATGCCATCTTCATCTAAGTCAGAAATGTTGAATGGTATAAGGACAGAGCCTTAGAGCACTAATAGCTATCATAATAATATAACATTTATATTTAGTGCTTTTATATAATAAACATTTATTTTTATTATAAGCGTTTATATAGTACTTTAAGGTTTGCAAATCACTATGTAAATATTATCTCATTTTATCTTCACAACAACCCTGAAAGGTAGGTGCTTGAGGTAAAAAGAATTTGAGAAGGAGATGCTCACGTCAAATAACCTCACTTTTCTCAGTAAAGAAACAAGGTGGTCGGCTGAAAAGGTGTTGATTTTACAGATGAGGAAATTAAGTCACAGAGAGCTTAAGTGCCTTTTCCAGGATCACACAGCTAGTATCTGAGGCCAGTTTTGAACTCAGGTGTTCTTTATCCACTGCCATCACCTAGCTGCCTTGATACCACCCTCAAACTGGCATATATCCATTAATGATAACTCTTTGGGCCTGGTCATTCGATCAATTCTGGCCCTAACTATATAACCTAATGTACTATTGTCTAGCAATCATCTCTTAATCTTGCCTTCAAGTATGGCATAAGAAACTTTGTCAAATGTCATTGATCTTAGTACTGATGTCTGGGACCACACAAATAAGGCCTGCACTTCTTCCACCTGACAGGCTTTGAAATATTTGAAGTCTTTTTTTCCAGGATAAACATCCCCGAATTCATTTAACTATTCCCTATGTGCCATATTTCTTGAGACTCTCACCATCCTACCCTTCCTTCTCTGGACATACTCAATTTAGCCAATGTCTTTATTAAACCACAACACCTGGAACTGAACACAATACTCAGATGTGGTCTGACTAGATAGAGAATAGTTGTATTGCTGTCTCCCTCATTAGGGATACTCTGTTTCTTTTAATGTAGGCTTGAGTTTAGATGGGGGTTCTTTGGCCAGGATGTCACACAGTTGACTTATTTTGAATTCACGGTCCACTAAGATCCCCAGGACTTTTTCATATGAACTTTTGTCTAGCTTCTCTTCCCTTTTCTTGTCCTTGTGTAGTTGATTTCCTGCCGCCCCCCATTTAATAGTATTTTATTCCTTCCAATTACACGTAAAGATAATTTTCAATATTCACTTATATAAGATTTCGAGTTCCAAATTTTTTTCTCCCTTCCTCATTCTTCTTCCCTCTCCCTAAGATGGCAAGCAATCTGATATAGGTTATACATGTATAGTCATACTAAACATATTTCCACATTAGTCATGTTGTGAAAGAAGAATCAGGACAAAAAGGATATAGTTGATTTTTAAGACCCCGGGATTCACCCCCTCTCCATCTTGCTCGTGAGAATATTATGATCACCACTTTTCTGTCCAAATGTATACAAATCATAACTCTAAGATGGTATGATTACTTTCTCCCAACACTACTATTATTTAGTAGTTAACATTTAGATGGCATCTTTTTTTCTTTCAAAAAGTAGATTATTATTTGACCAATGTGAAAATTTGTTTTACATGACATCATGTATAATGGGTGTCACATTTCTTGCCTTCTCAATGGATGGGAGAGGGAGCTGAGGGAAGAAGAGATTTTGGAACTGAAAATTAAAAAAATAAAATGGGAGAAAGTAGATTGTTATTTATATATTTCCTCTTGTACTTCTCCCCTTTCCCCTTCCTCTTTTAAAACAAATATATTTTTAAATGGAATAAGAAGAGACATATGTAGCATTTTAAGATTTATAATGTGCTTTGCTAACAAAAACCCTGCAAGTATAAGTATTATTATGCCAAGTGCTTGGCAAACCTTAAAATGTTACATACGTTTCTATCATCATCATCATCATCATCATCATCATCATCATCATCATCATCATCATCATAGTTTGATCTCCATTAGCGACAACCAGGTTTGTGGTACTAGTAGGTGAATTTAAATTCACAGCTTTGAGCCCCCACTGATGCTCTTCATTATACAAGAAAAAGCCCGGTCACATATGTTAATTCAGAGCAAAAGGCATCCAATTAAATATAATATCAAGGCAAATAACAAGGAAAAATCCCCTGTACACAAAACTGCACCCTCTCTCACAGACTCATGCCAAGCAATGGGAAAGGGCACATTGTCTAAACATTTATGCTCCTAGGCCTTCCTTACGGCCTTTACCTCTCTTGTGGCTCTACCTATGCTGTAGGCTTCTAGTGGTACCTTGGAAATAACACAAGGTCTGGAAGCAGAGGACCTAGTTTCAAACTCTACCTCTTGAACTTACTACCTTTGTGATCTTGGGCCTTATCCATTTATCCTTCCTAGGCCTCAGTTCCCTTTTCTGTAAATGAGGGGGTTGTGCTAGGTGACCTTTAAGGTTCCTTCAGGGTCTAAGGCTGTGATCCTACTTGTGAGCTTGTAAATCTGCTTTGCCTTATGGCAAAGAAGGATCTCCTGTGATCTTCCTTGGTGATAGTTTTCCTAATGACAAAGCAATGGGTGTAAATGCTGAGATTTCTTATATAATGGAAAACTGTTTTTGGGAAAGGATGTGAAGATGGAGGGAGGTGGGTATGAGCACCCAGCAGGTCACTGGTGCATAGTACCATCACTAGTGAGGCTGTTTACCCTCCTGAGCTTATAGATAGCTAGACTGGAGCAGTTTCTTGTGAATCCTTCACATCTAGGGGACTGGTGAACCACCTGGGCTAATTTGTTGATAACATTCCGCATAGCAGGAGCATTACACATTTTCCTTGTTCTCACGTGATGGAGCCTTCCCACCCCTACCCTAATATGTGTCCTCTGTATCAATCAGCCCATGGACAAGTGTTTATGCAACATCTGCTATGTACCAACACTGCAGCACACTCTGGGACGGTCCACATGCTATTCCTGATGGCTCTGAGTTATTTGGTGTGGTAGTGGCACAAAGTCTATAAAACGCCCACTCTTAAGCTTTTAATGAGTCACTGAAATACTCAGTTTACATCAATATAGATGCGCTTAGCCCATTAGGGCTGCAGAAAATTTGACAAACTTGGCAGAGCTGTTTTCCCACTGGAAAGTGAGCTGGCAGCTGATAAACTGGAATGTTAAAACATAAGCACATGGGTGAATGAATCCTATTTAGTCATGGGGGGAGGGGTACCCTGGGGAGCCTCAAGGGTGGGTAGGAATGTTGATGGGATTACAGGGAAGGGAAGAGGGGACTGAAACTCTGAGCTCAGATGGCCTCATGGGCTCACTTTTAAAAAAAATTTTTATTCCCCACCCCCCCATAGAGGAGTTTTCTTAGACACGATTCTCCCCCGCCGAGATGACAATGGTGTTCGACCGACCATTGGCCAGCGAGTTCGGCTCAGCCAGGGAGACATAGCCCAAGCCAGGAAGCTGTACAAGTGCCCAGGTAATCACAGTTGTTTGCAGTAACTTCCATTCATTCTGCTCAGCTCTATATCAAAACTCATTCTCTATTAGGGACCATTTCGCTTTGCTGAAAGAACTTGGAAATCCTAGACAGAGCACCAGAAAGCTGCAAGTCCAGGGCTCTGTAGCAACTCAGTTGCTCTCTGGTGGTCTGAGGTCTCCGAGAGTCTTTCCATTGCTTGCTTTTGTATCCATGTGATCATTTCAAAAGGCACTTAGCGGGTGTTTCCACGGAGGTGATAACTATGTGAGACGCAACCCTCATTCCATGTAACCCTGGTAATAGCTGACATTTTGGCACTGCTAGGCTTGGGAGTGCTTTGTCTATGTTATATCCTTTGAAAGGCTTCAGGTGAATTTGGTTTTTTGAAGGCAGCAATTAGGATGGTTGTGTCCCATTACCCTTAACCCAACCTACTTGAGATTTTTGTGAAAATCTTGGCTTTCTAAGGAGTGAGAGTAGATTGGGACAGGGGGTATTTCTAAGTGGGAGGAGGCTCTGCTGGCTGATGGAAGAACAAGGGCAGGGATGAGGCCCAGAGCAATCTGGGACTTGTCCCATTATGAAAAATCCTTGGCAATGCATGGAGCCCAACTGTTAGTCATCTAGGAATGTGTTAGGGTTGAAATGTAGGACATAAATCTCATGTAACCTTGCTATGTTTAAAGGGTAACCTTATCGCGATTGCTAGCAAATGCCATGCAGCCACATGATAATTTATATGTTCCTGCAGATTATTTGTAATTGCAGTAAAACAGCTTCCATTTCACCTTTACTGGTGTTTGCTGACCCGAGGAATTCTGCCTGTACCTGGCAGTCAAGTGGTAAAATGATACTGATGGCCCTTTCTTCTAGGATTTCCCTAGTCTGATCACTGGGAGTGGTTTGTTTTGCTTTCTCAGTGTTCAAAAGCTATGGATGACTTACTCCCAAAAATTGCAAGCAAGGAGATTTATCCATGTTTAATTTGAGTTGAAGACTAGAAGGGTTCTTGAGTTTCTTAGGGTTCAGGGTCACCTTAATGGGGAGGAGAGATGAATAACAACGCCTCCTGTCATAAATGTTCAGAAAGTTGTGAGCATTCAGCCGGGGCACAGAATTGTTGCCACATCACTCATTGGCTTTCTTACTGTCACATAAATATATGCTCCCCAAGTTCCAGCGAATATCCTACTTCGAAGTTCCAGGTACCTACATTTGGGTCATTTTTAAAAAAAATAAAAACACAGAGAAACAATGGGAAAAGTCACTGGTATTAGTGTTTATAGCCCTTTAGTGTCCAAGGATGGCATGTCTGATTGGGAGATTATCTGGTTTTACTGTTTCTGGGCAGGCTTATTACCACTGCTCATTTTCTGGCAATTTTTGTAGCCCAGTAACACCTTTGCTGAATGTTGAAAAGCAGGGGAAGAGAAAAGAAGCATGATCAAAGCCTATCCATCCTACCTGTTGACTAATTCATGATTTAATGGGGAAAAGAGCTTGGACTGAAGGGATAAAATGTGAGATGCCCTGGCCAGGGTCGTTTCACACTTACATCATTAACGTGACCAAATCCCACTTGCCATCATGTGGGGAAACTACATTATGGGGATGATGACATTCGGCCCTAGCTGCAACTTGGATGGGAAGGCTCTGGAACCAGCTGCCCATGGTAATAGATTTCACTCAACATTGTGTTTTCACAGAATCAGTTGTATGGTACATGGAATGGAAAGAGCTTTGGATTTAGAGACAGAGGAACTGGGGTTCCAATCTTCCCTCTGCTACTTACTCTGTGGGATCTGGGGCAAGTCATTTAACATCACTGGGCCTCAGTTTACTCATTTGTAAAATTGAAATGCTTGTGTCTATGAAAATCAACAGTGGGATACTCCCTGTTTCTCTTGATCAGAGAGATCAGAATATTGGATGAAATCTTTTTCCTAACTACTAGGTCAATTAATAACACCTTGCTCACAGGGTTGTACGATAACAGATCAAATGAGATAACATGTAGAAGGCACCTTACAGATCTTAAAGTGCCATAGAAATGCTAACTATAATTATTAATAAAATGAAGTGCTTTGAGCTCCTTGGAAAATCACAGAATACTAATATAATGTAACAAATAAAAAGTACATGTAATATACGTATATGATGCTGTAACAGTAGGGTGTTACGGGCTGCAGCACTTATAATTTGTTTCACAGGTTTGGATCTGTACCCACAAAGACATGTTCACACTTTTCCTAGCTTGCAAATGATTTAATAATGATAATAATCATAAATATACATGCACATAAATGTGATTACATACAATCTTAGAAACAAAGACTATTAACAGAAAGATAGAGAGATAAAGAAGAAGTACATCACCAATCCAAGGAAGCACCAACTCTTGAACATCTGGCTGGGGGAGTCCTGTATCACAGCCGTCAGGGTCTCGGTTAGGAAAGTCAACAGAGTGGGCGTTCCCACCTCTGAAACGAAGACCTTCAAAAGTCCCTTCCCCAAATGGCCCGTTTTATATCTATGTAAACTGCGGGAGAACAACCTTAGAACAAAAGTGGAGCTTGGCCAAAGCTCCAGATGTCTATTTTTTATGTACATATCCAAGGAGAGGCCAGTTCCTTGGAAACGTACATGCTTTCCTCAAGGAATCTAAGATATTCCTTGAGAGAAGAGTTGTTCTGCCCTGGTAACATAGTTTGTTTTATTCTTTGATATTCTATTCCCTTGGTGCTCCTGGTCACGCATACTAACTTTAAATTACATTACTTAGGTCATGAGGCAGTTGTGTGAGGGGCTGAGGAGGATCTCCTCAGATGCAACGTCCCAATTAGTGGAAATAATGAATTTCCCCAAAGTGGTCACATCATTCTAATTTGCATTACGTATTTCTGGTGAACTGAAACCAGTTACCATATTTTACCTAATTTCAACTAGTTATGAATTATACCCAATTAATATAATATTATATATATTTATGATATCATATAAAACCTAATTTATATTATTATTGTTTTGTTGACCTAATTTATATATACCTAGTTTCAATAGTAGGATGCAGTTAGGTGGTGCAGTGGATTGAGTTCCTGGCTTTGAGTCAGGAAAATTCATCTTTCTGGGTGCAAATCTGACACTTATTAACTTGTGTGACCCTGAGCAAGTTACTTCACCCTGTTTGCCTCAGTTTCCTCAGCTGTAAAAGGAGCTGGAGAAGGAAATGGCAAACCACTGTAGTATCTTTGCCAAGAAAACCCCAGATGGGGTCACAAAGAGTCAGACACAACTGGAAAATGACTGAACGACAATTTCAATAGTGCATATTCAAATACATGTGACCAACTTAGGAAATTCATTATTCATATTAATTAGTACCTAGCTATATACATACATATGTTTATACATGTAAAATTATGATGATGATAATAATGATAATGATAACATTTATGTAGTGCTTACTATATGCTAGGCACTATGCCAAGTGCTTTAGACATATTATCTCTTCTGATCGTCACAATAACCCTGGGAAGAAGGCACTATTATTATCTCCATTTTACAGATGAGAAGAAAAGGCAAACAGAGGTTAAGTGTCTTGCCCAGGGTCACATAGTTAGATACACAGTTAAGTGTCTTGAGACTGAATTTGAACTCCGGTCTTTCTGACTCTACTCTATCCACTGTGTCTCCTAGCTGCTCCCAACTATATAACTTGTATTATTTTTTTTACATACAGTCTATATAAATATACATATATATGCATGCACATGTATATAGACATTCATATACATGCAGATGTATGTGTTTATACATGCATACATGTGTGTGTATACACACACATATACATATACATACACACACTCACATACTCATACATATACATATATGTACAACTGGTGGCACAGTGGATGCAGCACCGTCCCTGAAGTCAGAAAGACCCAAGTTCAAGTACAGCTTCAGACACTTACTTGTGTGACTTGTAAGTCACTTAAACCCCATTTGCCTCAGTTTCCTTATCTATAAAATGAGACTAAAAATAGCATCTACCTCCCAGGGTTGTTGTGAGGCATGTTTGATGATATGTTTGAAGTACTTAGTACAGGTTCTGGCACATTGTAAATGTGTGTAGATGTTAGCTATTATAATAATAATAATTATCATTATTATTATTGTTATTATTATTATTACATACTATGCTTATATGTGTATATGTTTATATGTGTATTCTGATAGGGAATTTGAAATTTTCCCAGATTTATTCAGAAGTCCTCACTTGTTTATAATGTCAATTTGTAGCTGGGGTAAGTTGCCTGGGTAATTTCATGTGCTGGAAATCACAGTTGTTGTTGTTTTGACTCAACAGCCTGTGGAGAGACACTGCAGGACACCACAGGAAACTTTTCTGCCCCTGGTTTCCCAAATGGTTATCCTTCCTATTCCCACTGTGTCTGGAGGATATCTGTCACTCCTGGGGAAAAGGTAGGTGTGGAATTCTCTTGGGAAATAACATTGTCGTTTGAAGTAGGCCTAGGCTAGAGGGCCCTTTGAGCCACAATCTGGATGATCTACGTACATGTTAAATAGAGATATCCTCGTTTTCAATTGATTTTTTGAAAAAAAGTATTAAACATTTTTTAGGCTGAGAGGGTGAGAGCTAGAAGTACCTCAGAGGCCATTCATTTTATAGATGAGGAAACCATGCTTTGCCCAAAGTAACTCAGGTCTTCAAGTTCCCTGCACCATGCTGCCACCTTTTGTATGAAATGTGCTGTGCTAGGCACCATCAGAGATGAAAATACATATAAGACATGCTCCCTGCCCTCGAAGGAGCTTATAATCTAGTAGATAAGAAAACATCTTCCTCAAGGGAATTGATGATGCTTGCTGAAAGCTTTTACACTAATGTGTGTTTGGAGCATCCAGTGATATAGTTGGTTCTGTGGGAGAGGAGCAAGCTAGTATCCAAGACCATCTCAGATAGACATGATTGTCATAGAATCATAAGACTGAAAGGAAACCTGAGAGATTACCCCAGCTGGTCAGCTGATAACCCCAAGCTGCAAGCCTGGCTGTAATTTGCTAAATGAGAAGGGCTCGTTTTCCTGTTTCCTCTCTCTGTGGTATTTTGAGCAGCCAACGGATGGTGACAGGTAAGTGTGTTCAAGTCCGTGTGTGCTGTTTGCACAGCCACAGGGATAAAATCATGCAATAGTATTATAAAAATAACCACTGGAAACTTGATGGCCAGACAAATATTTTTTAAAAGTCAGTGTACTGAGATACACAAGCATAAACACTACTACCGAAAGGAATCTATCTTTCATCCTATTCAAACTGGTCTACCTTTCTTACAGACAAATCTAACCCTTTAGCCTCATAAACTAGGCATTGGAGAGGTAATCCTGCTACGTAGAGCAGTCATGGTCCTTCAAGGTTGTGTTCTGGGCCCTTTACTCTGTCTATAGTCTCTCCCTTGTGATAAGCCCCCATGCATCCAATTATCACTTTGGAGACAACTCTCAAATTTACTTACTCTGCTCTAATATCTCTCTCTTCAACCACAGTCTTATGTCACCAACTGCCTGCTGGTATCTCCATCTTGATGTCCCATTAACATCTCGAACTCAGCATGTCCAAAATGGAACTCATCATGTGTTCCTCCAAGCCTAGACCTTCTTAAACTCCCTGTTTCTGTTGGAGGAACGACCATCCCTCAAATTATTGCACTCTTGATGTCAGACTCTTCCCCTCCTCATGAACCATATTCAATCAGTTGCCAAATCTTGTTATTTCTACTTCTTCCCACCTCTTTTGCATTCTCTCTCCTTCTTCCCACTCACACCTTCTCTACTCTCATTCAGGCTCTTATCACTTCTTTCCTAGACTATTGCAGTGACCTCCTAGATGGTCTTCCTGTTTTGAGAATCTTCCTTCTCTAGTCTGTCTTCTTTCTAGCTGCTAGATTGATATGATTAAAACACAGATCTAATCAGGTCACTCCTCTACTCAAAGACGTCAGTGACTCCCTATCATATCTCAAATGAAATACAAGGCCCTCCTTCCACAGCCTGGTTACTATGCACTTTTCCTGTCTTGTTTCACAGGATTTCTTTTCACAACTTGCTACTATTGATCTGGAAAATGGGAACAACTATAGCATCTATTTCCTAGAGATGTTGTAAGGACCAAGTGAAATTTTAAATATACATACATATATACACACACATACAATATATGTATATAAAATATACATGTGTATGTATATATTTGTATATACACATATATACACACACACATATATATATGCACACACACACACACGCACATATATATATACATTTTTTTCATACCTTAAAGTGCCATATAAACATTTGCTATTATTGCTGTTGTTATTCCTGCCTGCCAAACTGGCCTGATAACAACAAATCAAAATCTAAAACTCCAGACCTTGACCAACTCTTGACATTGATAATGCATTAACCCATAATTCCTCTAATTATTACAGGTGCTGTTTAGCAGATCAGAAAGAACAGTAATTAGTATACAAAAGAAACATCATGAGCAGATGTTTAATAATAATAAACTGGACTAGATAACCTCTAAGTCTCATTCCAGCTCTAAGTTTATGACCATCATACATCAGCTTTGCCATAAGTGCTTGGGAAAGTCTCGTTATGGGGATGGAACCGGGATATGAGTGGATCAATTAACCCGTCAACAAGCATTTATTAAGTTCTTCCTATGTGCCAGTAACTCTATTAAGCCCTGACGATACAAAAGCAAAACAGCCTTTTCACTCAAGGGCTTGAATTCCAATAGGGAACACAACAGGTGGATAATTGGATGTATCCAAGATGGAAGATGACCTTAGAGATTGGGGTAGCTGGGTGATGCAGTGAATAGAGAGCTGGGCCTGAAGTCAGGAAGATTCATCTTCCTAAATTCAAATCTGGCCTCAGACACTTCTAGCTGTGTGACCTTGAGCAAGTCACTTAAACCTGTTTGCCTCAGTTTTCTCATCTGCAAAATGAGCTGGAGAAGGAAATGGCAAACCACTCTAGTATCTTTTCCAGGAAAACCCCAAACAGGGTTGTGAAGACTCAGACAAGACTGGAAAGAGTGAACAATAACAATGACTTTAGCAGCTGGAGAGACCAGAAAAGACCACAGAAGAGGGGCAGTTGAGTTAAGTCTTCATTTGCTGCTAAAATGGGTGATTTTTGACTTTCATCTCCTTTTCTTCCCAGTGGATACTGGAGGTGCTGGGAGCAGGAAGGTAGAATGGAGGAAGAGAAGGTCGGATCTGGGGAGTCCTCAAATTGGCTGAATTGATAGTTTTCCTCTATGTCCCCTTATGCCAAGAATCTAGATTTAAATTTGTAAAATACATAACTTCTATCCTCAGACCTGTGATTTCATCTGTATGTGGATCTGCTAGTATGGAAGCTTCCTTTATTGATGCAGATCAGGACCTCCTCAGTAACTAACATTTAGAGGATTGCCTCTGGGGTCTCTGAGAGGTTAAGTGACTTGCCCAGGAACACATGTGTGAGGCAAGACTTGAACCCAGTTCCTTCTGACTCCAAAGCTATCCTCTATCCACTACACATAACAGAGTTCAGTAAATATTTGTTGGTGGACTTTTTCCTTAGCCTCTGAAAATAAGGACCACTGTTAATTATTCAAAAACTAATTGTACTGGTTTGAGATTGACTGAGACCCATGCATCTTCTCTTCCTTTCACAGCTCATTAGTGAGGTGAAGAAATGGAAGGAAAAGAAGTGATGCTCAAATTAGTCAGTTCTACTACTCACTATAAACTCTGGTGAAGGCTGAGAGAAGAGAGTATAATAATTGGCTTAAATGAGACACTGGGGAATTTCAATTATCTAGGCTCTCCCTCTCCTCCATTAGTAGACAAATGTGATTAGGACAAAGTTATATGGTTCAGTCCATACCCATAGCTTCTCACATGCAGGACATATGTGCCCCTCCCAACACACACACACACACACACACGTGTGTATGTGGTATGTGTATATATATACACATATGTACATGCATATACATATATCTACAGGTAGGGGTGTGTGTATGTGTGTGTGTATGTATGCAATTGGTGAGATGAATAATGTTGGGCTTGGAGTCAAGGAGATCGATTTAAGTTCCTCCTTTGACACTTACTCAGTATACAATCCTGGCAAGTATCTTAATGTTTAAGATCCTGGGCAAGTCATTTAAGCTTTAGGTGTCTCAAGGAACTCTCTAGGACTTAGCTACTAAGTCACAGACCTGTTGAGATCTGCTTTGGTGGAGGGACTTGCCACATTGGAAATTCCCTTTCCTTCTGCCCTCCTCCCTTCTCCACACTTCCCTGCCCCCCTCCCACTCCTCCCACGTCTCCCCTTCCTCACCCTCCCCTCCCCTCCCTTCCCTTCCCCTCTGTTTTGTTTTGTCTTTGTATTCCCAGTGGCTTGCACATGACTTAGTAAACAATTATCAAAATCAATTAAAATTCTCCAGGGAATGCCAGCTACTATAATCTTCCTTGGCAAGATATTCATTAACCAAATAAACAATGTCAATTTGTGGCCATTGTTTTGATCTGTATTCGTCTTGTATTCACAACATAGTGCAAACTGTGTGCCAGGAACTGTTGTAGGAACTAAGGGAGAGACACAAAGCTAAGTTAGGTTGGGGGGTGCACGTAACCACACGGTGTGGAGGTAGTCTGGAAGCAGCACGGCAACAGAAGCTTGTCTACCAGAGCCCAGGGTCTGGAGGGCAGAGTCCGAGGTTCTGGTGGGGGAAATGAGGAAGATGGTGAACGTGTAGACAGCATGGCCATCATTATGGTCAGGAAGTGAAGTTTCAGTCCAAAGGAAAAGAAGAAGAGACAACAAGTAAAGGCAGAGAGGAGAGGGGAGGGAGGGAAGGAGAGGCAAATTCAGGCTTGGGTCAAGTCAAGTGGGTTTTGTACTTGGAGAAGGTAAGGCCATCTCCTCAAACTGAGGGCAAGAGATGGAATTGCCAGCAGAGGGAAAGGACAGTGTCTAGAGTCTACTGGGGAGTCACCAAGAGATAAATAAAGGTGTTCCTAGAGAGTGTAAGCAGGGTTGAGTTGTTCACAACTTGCGTTGAGCCAAGTAGTTGTGGTTTGTAATCTTCCTACGGCAGTTTCCTGTGGCCTGGAAATATGAGCAGCCAAAGAAGGCAGACAATGGGAATTCCAACCTAGTTTTCTGTTCCGACCTGCCTGGAAGTAGGAGAATGCAGTGAGGATCGCTTGAGATTGTTAAGTAGAATCCTATGGAGCAACTTGGGAATGGCTTTTTGGACATGAGGATACTGGAGAAAAAATGTTAAAAATACTTGTCCTGAAAAAAAATTTACTGAAGTAGCCAACTGAAAATGGGATAGAAGTAATTCGTGAAAGTGTTCTGTCTTCCTGTGTCAGTTGGAATGATCATGATTTTCCCTTATATTTGCACTTCATCTCTTGCCAAATCACTAATCTCTTCTTCCCCTGGCCAATCTTTTAATGTCTTTTTCTTTTGGTCAACACCCATATGACTTAAGAAGCTTAAGTTCTTCATTATAAAATACCCTGGAAACGAATTCCTCCCTATTTATTCCCTGTTTTTCCTGACATCCTGACATTCATTATTATGATCTTTCGCGGGATTTTTTTTGGGGAGGGCGGGAGAGGGGTCTGGTTCTGTGATTTCATGGGTATAGGGAACTTCCAGTAAGAAAAGTCTCTCTACTGAAGCAAATCAGCAAGTGTTCAGGAAATTTTTTTTTTTTTAGTGAAGCAATTGGGGTTAAGTGACTTGCCCAGGGTCATACAACTAGTTAAGTGTCAAGTGTCTAGTCTGAGACTGGATTTGAACTCAGGTCCTCCCGACTCCAGGGCTGGTGCTCTATCCACTGCACCACCTAGCTGCCCCAGGAATTTATAGTATTAAGAGAATCACCTAGAGCCCAGAGAGGTTGTAACCTGCTCAAGATCATACCACTATAATGTGTCTCAGGTAGGATTTGAACCTGGGTCCTCCTAACTCTGATGCTAGTTCTCTATCCAAAGGGTGGCTAGGTGGTACAGTGGATAAAGTATTGAGCCTAGAATCAGGAAGACTCATTTTTGTAAGTTCAAATCTGTTCTCGGACACTTACTAGCTGTGTGACCCTCAGCAAGTCACTTAACCCTGTTAGCCTCTGTTTCTTCATCTGTAAAGCAAGCTAGAGAAGGAAATGATAAACTATTCCAGTATCTTTGCCAAGAAAACCCCAAACGGGGTCATGAAGAGTTGGACACAACTGAAATGCCTGAGCAGCAACACACTCTCTATCCATTGTGCCATGCTGACTTTTGTTATCAGTTATTATTTGTATTTTGTTAATACTATAAAATAATATGTTTATAGAGCACATTGCTGTATCCAAAGCACTTTCAAATGAAGGCCACTTGTTTTCATGTTTTGTATTGTGCTGTGGCGTGGGAGAAACGTTTAAGAAGCTCTTTGCTGGGTTTGTCTTGTGAGTCTGTCCCCCCGCCCCTAACTCTGTGCTGCCTCTTTACAGATTATTCTGAATTTCACATCTATGGACCTGTTTAAAAGCCGCCTGTGCTGGTATGATTATGTAGAGGTCCGAGATGGTTACTGGAGAAAGGCCCCCCTCTTGGGTGAGTGAACATTGGAATGCTTTCATGTGGATTGAGAGAGCAATGTGGGAAAGAAGAAAGGTCCCCGAACCTGCATTCACGTCCCATCTCTGCTGCCGACTTCCCGGCTTAGGGGCTAAGTCACTTATTTCCCTGATTCTCAGTATCTCTTACTCCTTCAGAAGATGTCAAATGGCTTTGAATAGATAAATAGAGGGGGCCTAGGTCGGGCTGTAATGCAGAGTACCAAGGCCTGGAGTCAGGAAGACCTCAGTTTAAATTCAGCCTCATATAATCACTATCTGTGTGGACCTGGGCAAGTCTGCCTCTGTTTCCTCATCTGTAAAATGGAGATAATAATAGCTCTTACCTCCCAGGGTCTTTGTGAGGATTGAATGAGATAATATTTGTAAAGTGCTTTGCAAACCTCAAAGAGCTAAGTAATGATGATTATCGTCATTATCATCATCAATTAGATGACACAATAGATGGAAAGAACACCCAGACATCTGGGTGAGAAGCTGTGGGTAGTAAAAGATTGTTTGGTTTTTTTTTTTTAATTAATTCAGTAGAAACTGGGTCCCAGAAGAGACCTCTTTTACAGATGAGCTAAGAAATGTGATTCGGCTAGTGGAAGGAGGGTTGAAAGGGAGAGGCCTGTGTTGCCGAGGCTTTAGCCACAAAAATGAGCTCCAACATCACAACCAAGTATTGGTTGTAGCAGCAGAGCAGGAGAAGCCAGGGTCTGTGGCCAGCCTCACGAACGCAGCCTGTGGCCTGGGGGACTTCTCTCTGATAACATCAGTATGGCTTGTGTTGGCCCCTACCCTGAAGTTTTCCTTGGCACATATGAATGTGGCTTTTCAGTTCACCTGCAATCAACTCCAGCCCCGATGTTTCTTGGAGTTTAAGATACACCTGACTTAATAGTCTTGTTCTTGGGATATGACAACAGGGTCAGATACTGTGGTGGTGGTGACTGTAACCTGGAAAGGATTATCCTGGTGTGACTTGGGAAGGTAGGGTGAGACATGGAAAACAGGGTGGTATATGTAAAGCACTCTCAGGAGGATTGTCTTGAATTTCATTGGGTAATCTCGTGAAGAATGGCGAAAGTTTATAGTATCATTATTTCCTGATAGTCAAATGAGATAACATCTGTAAAGTGCTTCCAAGCCTTTCAGCACTGTAGAGTGCTATTCTGATGATGATGATAACAATGATGATGATGTTTTTGAATGCTTGATTTTGGATTCTCCTCAGCTCTTAATATTCTCTCAGTTTGTCTGTATATGTTTAACATTTACATAGCTCAATTATGGATTTCTGTACAACCTTGAATTCAACATAGGAGTATTTGGATGATTATAATTATTACATGACTACAATCCCTATTTAGGTTTAGAACTGGGAACCTCTAAAGTCAAACTCAGTTCTAGATCATCCAGTTTGTTATTATACTAAAAGACTGGGCTGGAACTACACATTGAAATGATGAAATGTTTAATTGGGACAGAGTTCCCAAGCAAATAGTAAAACTTGTCTCAGAACTCATTCCCCAGTGAGCACACTCTTTCTCGATCCCCACCAAAGTAGCCTAAACAAAGAGCTTCTTAGGATTCAGGACTTTCAGTGTCTTTGTGTAGCTGGCTGGAGTGTACTTGAGCGTGTCCCTGGGTCTCAAGCTTCCAGGGGGGGGCTGAGTCTGTTTCTAAGATTGCCTGTCTCTTGCTCGAATCTTCACACCCTATTCTGCAACCTTTCTCTCTGTGTGGCCCCTAGTCATGCACTCTCCATACAGATCCCTGGCCCCTGATCTCTCTGTTCCATTATTCTTTCATCAAGTGTTCTAAGCTTCCTTCCTGATTGTTTTCACCAGGAGAGGGTCAGAACAACATATCCTCCCTCTTCTCCACCCCCAACCTACCACTCCTTGGCGGAAAATCTCTTTTCCCTACACAAGTTTGTGGTCTGTAAGCCTTTTCCCTTGGAGGGAAGGAACTTAATAACAGCCTGGCCCATGCTCCCAAGAGTTGCTGGCTATGTAGTTAAAGCACTTACGTTCTTTTACTTTCAATTAATAAAGAGGAATTAAATTGATTTATTCCACAATGGGCTACATTCTCGACTCCACCCAGACACTGGGAGGGTAGTTAACTTTGCCTTTTCCAGGCTGCCTTATGGTTCTAATCCTACTTGATTAGGTGTATTTTAGTAGGTGTGGGAACAGATGCTTGGGCTGAAAACCTCAAGTCCCAATTCCCAGACCTCAGCTCCAAGCAGAAAAAACAGTCAAAATCACGTTTCTGATGGGATGATATGCAAGAAGAATAAGGATGTGGCAAGAACAGATCTGGGCGCTCATAATCCCTGGGGCAAGCCCCTTAACCCATCATGGTGCTGCTGGATCTGGCATCAGAGGGCCTGGGTTCAAATCAAGACTTTGGCACTTGGACTCAGGCTTCTCATTTGCAGAGGAGGGCATTTATTGAATTAGACAGATGATGTCCTTTCCCACAATCAATCTATGATCATCTCTGGGTCTTTATTTCTTATGTTGTCAAATGGAAATAGTATTGGATGAGTATTAAGACAGAGCCTAGATCTTAGGAGAATTGACATGATTTCATTGTATCTTTGTATCCTTATCTCTTAGAGCAATGTTTGGCATAGAGCTGCTGCTTGATCAATCCTTATAGAACGAATGACATTTGATTTCAGGGTTAGAATGGGTATCAGAGGTAATATAGTCTAACCCTTACTCAAAATATGAATATCCTCTCTAGCCTTAATAATCATACAGCCTCTGCTTGACTTCCAGGGATAGAGAACTTACTCTTGGTTGAGATAATACCTGTTTTTTCCTGTCCTTTTTAGACCCGGTGGATCTTTAATATAAAGATAATTCAAATATAGCAGCTAGGTGGCACAGGGGATAGAGCGCTGGGCCTGAAGTCAGGAAGACTCATCTTCCTAAGTTCAAATCCAGTCTCAGCTGTGTGATCCTGGACAAGTCACTTAACCCTGTTTGCCTCAGTTCCTCATCTGTAAAATGAGCTGGAGAGGGAAATGGCAAACCACTCCAGTATCTGCCGAAAAGAGACCCAAATGGGGTCACGAAGGATCAGACCCGACTGAAACAATTGAACAACAAAAGAGTTACATTATTAGTATCTATAGATTGAGGAAAGAGCTACTCTGAATTCCCTTAATATTTTAAAGTGCTGTATTGTGATAGCATATGGGGATATTTATTCAGTCTGCGGGAGGTTTTGTTCGCTTGGTGATTATTTTAAGTCATGCTGCATATTTTATTGGGCTAAAAAAGGTCCAAATGACAGTGTGATACAGTCAGACCTTGGGTTCAAATTCTGTTTTTATTACTTACTGCCTTTGTGTCTTCATCTATAAAATGAGGAGGTTAGACCAGAGGATCTCTAAAGTATATTCCAGCTCTAAATCTTATCCCTGGTTATGGGTAGAGATGATGACTTAGGCTAGGAATGTTAATAGTCTCAGGAATTGTGGTTGGTAGGACAAAGGGAGAGCCAAAAGGGTTAAGTGACCAGGAACTGAGCTACAGAGAATGAAGAAATTGAACAAAATTAGAGTCGCAGAATCTCAGAGTTGGGAAGGAGCCTAGAGGCAGTCTATTCAAATTTCTATCTGAAAAAGAAGGGTTTCCCTTATCAATAAGGATCAGTCAATCAAGTCAATCAACAAGCATTAATTGAAGTCTTACTGTGTACTAATTGTTGTAACCCCAAAGAAAGGCAAAGCACAGTCCCTGCAGCTAAGGAGCTAACATTCTGTGGGAGAGACAACGTGGAAATAATTATCCACATATAAAAGATATACAACATAAATGGAATGTAATCCCAGGAGGAAGACTTTAATGGAAACACATCTTGCAGAAGGAGGTATTTGAACTACATCATCTCTGACAACTACAACATCTCTAGCCTGTACTTAAAGACCTTAAGCAAAGGGAAATTCATGATCCCTGGAGAGAGTTCATTCTGCTTTGTAATTGTCAGGGAGTCCTTCCTTACACCAAGCCTAAATTTACCTTTGCCATTTCTAGCCCATATTCCTAGTTCTGTCTTCATGGATAAACAGGACTAGACCATTCCTTCCTCCGCATGACACATCTTCAAAAACTTGAAAACAGTTATCATTTCCAAGTCCCTCCCCATGTCCTCCCCTCGCCCCCATCCCAAGCTTTCTCTACTCTAGTCTAAACATTCCCAATTCCTTCAATGGACCCTCTTGTGGCATAAATTTGGGCCTCTTCACCATACTGGTTGCCCTCCTATGGACCATCTCCAGCTAATCTATGTCCTTCCTAAAAATATGGCACCCACTAATTGAACATAATCCTCTAGATGTGTCTGAGCAGGGCAGAGTGCATTGGGACTATCCTGTCCTTATTCCTGGATGTTTTGCTGTTTCTGTGGTTTCTTCTACCTCTTGAAAGAAATACAAATTCCCTCTCTCTGCAGATCCTGGCTTCACTTGCCAAACTGCACGACCAAACAGATCTGTCTTTCTTTTGATTCATCTTGGCCCTTGCTTTTACCAGCTGCTAGTGGCAGGGTGCATGTGAGTGTGTGGATGAGTGAGGCCTGGCTCCAAGCCTTTGGCCGTCAGGTTTCACTTGTAGAATTTCTAGTTTGCTTAAGATCTGGCCTACTCGTCGAGGCTGCCAAATGCTGTTGTTCCTGAACCTTTGTATTTGGAACAAGTGCACTGGGTGATCAAGGGGAGGAGAGTTGGCCTCTGGGAGGGTCGGTCAGGGCTATGAAATCTTCTGGGAGGAGTCAGGCCGATGCTGTTTTGCCGGAGGGAGAGAGGATTAGGGTGGATTGGGAAAAGTATGCCTCTTGCAAAAAACTGTGCTTTACATATTTTCCCAGGGAAGTGTGTGAAAATCCAGCCATCAATGGGGCATAACTTTTTATGAATGAACCCTTTATCATACCAGACTCTGCTTGTCAAGTCCTTATCTGCATTCCCTCTTC